TATGTTTAATTCAAAACAAAGACTTTGAATTTAAACAACATGAAAAGAGCAACTGCTTTCAACCGCAACAAGGCTTCTACAAATAGCGCTCGAGGGATCTGCACAAAAGGTTTACGACCACAACAAAATTTCATTCTCTCCAATTTACTTAGTCATTTTAATTAGTCTTTCCTTTGTACTTCTTTTCTCCGGAGTAGTATTAGATTCAACACTTCTTATAATTTGTATGAGAATCCTACTTATAAAATAAAAGTCAGACGTTCGGCTTCAATCCCTCTACTTTTATTTTCTGTCTCTTGGAATAGATGTATCCTTGTATTATTTGTTTTACTCGCTTCATCCATTTCACCTTTAATGTTGAAACTCTTTTTGATTGAGGAATCGAAAACCTAAAGGAATGGGCCGATTACGAATTCGGTAAGCGCCAAGAATAGTTTGGTTATCCAACCCCTCTGAGTCGGAAGACTCTGGCACTCGCCTAAAAAAAAAAAGAAAAAAAAAAAAAAAAAATGCGAAACAATTATTCAGAGAGAGAGAGAGATAGTGGGTGACGTTGAGGAAGAGGTTGCCAGAACGATCCTTAGGAGGGTGAAGGTTGTTGGCGGCGGTAGGGATTCGCTAAAAGAAGGTAAGTTGTAAGTAAGTTGTATGTGGTGGTGCAGTGGGCAGCAAAGGGTCGGGGTTGGTTGCACAAAACCACCTGGCTTTGTCTGGTGTTCTTTACGGTCATTTCACAAAAGGATATATTTTTATATATTTTATAAAATGATAATAATTTAATTAAAATATAGCTTAAATGTGTCAAAAGACACTTATTTGCATAAATTAAAACAACGATGCAAAATTGTCCAAAGCAATGTTGTTTTCAATTAAAAGTTTGTGTTACTTACTGCATGGAACATGCTCACGCCAACCTCCCATATTTCCTCCAAATCATCTATCAATGGTTCGTCATTACGAATTTCATTAGAGAATTCAAGGTGGTGGTCATAGGCAAAAGTTTTCCCTTCATAGGAATCAGAAGGAAGCTTAGTCAAGGATGTTGTCATTTATGTCCTAAACAACAGCAAACCTTGGTATTAAAGTGCGAATTGAATCATTGAGTTGAATGCCACGAAAATTATTTGCTATGTGGCCTTAAATGGAAAATTTTGAAGTCTCCACCAAATATTGAGTTTTGGTATGTTAAGTGGAGACTTGCTCTTATCAATATAATAAAAGGTGAATCGCAAAAAAATCTCGTTAACTATCACTCACTTGCAAAAAACACCCCCTTATAAATATTTTTAGCAAGAAACTCCCCTCCACTATATTAAAAGGAGTATTTTAACTTAACACCGTGTAACGATTTTTTGAGGTAAATTTTTGGACCAAATTAACCATTAACGGAATGCGGATGAGAATGGTGAGTCCAACAGTTGGGTGATGAGATTTGAGTAGCGAGGTTACTGTAGTGACTCGATTTAGTTAGGTAGCTGTCAGAGAAGGGCTCGCTAAAACATGGGTAACCAGACGCACTCCCAATGCCGGCATCTCCGATGTTTGACGACGGCAAAGAGTTAATGTTGAAAAGCCAGATCACGCCAGTCCCTACTTGTGCCGTCTACACCTTCAAGTCCTCTATACCCCCCTTAAAACAGGTCTACAACCGGCACTGAAATTGGCCCTGCATACGGCACGGGGCCACTCTTCTCAATCTCATTGGTGGTTTCGTGCTTTAGGCAATTGATCAGAGTACTTGATCGCTTCAACGCTGATATTGTCGGTGGTAACGGCGAATCGGAACATCAGTGTCTGAGTGGAAGGGAAGATCAAGGACTCTTGCAAAGATGTGAGGGAGTCTTCAGAGCTTCTTTTGCTGGCAAGCAAGTGCATTAGAGAGGTCGAAGTGACGTGGTATTATAGCATGATGTTCCTTTTCCTCGCAGCTAGATGAACCATTCATGGTGCGGTGATGAGATCGTTCCCGGCGGCGACCTCGTCTGGCAGTCCAACACCGCCGGCCGCGGCGTCTCCTCCGTCACTGCTCTCTCTGGCCCTTCGGCAATCTCACTCTAAGGGCAAAGCTATCTTATGCTACGTTTGGTGTGCAGGAATGGAATGAAATGCAAGTGGGAATGGAATGAGAATGGGAATGGAATGGAATCGTTATTCTCATTCTATTGTTTGGTTGTAAATATGAAATGTGTAAGAATGGAATGATAATAACCATTCTAGTATTTGGTTGAACCAATTTAAAATTTAGAATGGAATAAATTTCTAATTGAATTCTCCAAAATATCCTTCTTAGTAACAAATAAATTAAATTAATAACAAAATGATATTATCTAATAATTTTTTAAAAATAAATGGTGGCAATGGCGGTGGAGGATGGTGGAAAGTGGTAGTAGTGTAAGTGGTGGTGTTGGAAGGCGGCGGTGGTGGCAATGGTGGAAATTGGTGGTAGCAGTGGTGGTGGAAGGTGACAGTGGTGTTGGTGGAAGGCGGTGGCAGTAGTGTGGTGGTTGTAGTGGAAGGAGATAGTGGTGTGACTATAGTGGTGGTGGAAGGCTGTGGTGGAAGGTGGTGGCGGAAGGTGGCGAGCAATGGCGAAAGGTGGTGGTGGTGGCGGTGGCGGTGGCAGAAGGTGGTGGTGGTGGCGATGGTGAAAGGTGGTGGTGGCGGTGGTGAAAGGTGGTGGTGATGGTGGAAGGTGGTGGTGGTGGTGGTGGTGGTGGTGGAAGGTGGTGGGCGATGGCGAAAAGTGGTGATGGTAGCGGTGGCGGAAGAAGGTGATGGTGGTGGCGATGGTGAAAGGTGGTGGTGGCGGTGGTAGAAGGTGGTGGCGGAAAGTGGTGGCAGAAGGTGATGGGCGATAGCGAAAGGTGGTGGCGGTGGTAGTGGTGAAAGGTGGTGGTGGCGGTGGTAGAAGGTGGTGGTGGCGGTGGTGATGGAAGGTGGTGGTGGCGATGATGGTGGTGGAAGGAGATGGCAATGGCATTGGTGGTTGTTGAAGGCGGCGGTGGTGGTGAAAGGTGGCGGTGGTGGAAGGCGGCGGTGGTGGTGTAAGGCTGTGACGGTGGCGGTGGTGGAAAATGGTGGTGGTAGTAAAAGGCGGTAGCAGTGGTGGAAGGTGGTGACAGTGGTGAAAGGCGATGGCGGCGGTGGTGGTGGAAGGTGGTGAAAGGCAATGATGGTGGTGGAAGGTGGTGGCGGTGAAAGGCGGCAGCAGTGGTGAAAGGCGGCGGTGGTGGTTGCGACAAACGATGGCGGTAGCAGTGGTGAAAGGTGGTGGCAGTCGTAGTGGTGGAAAGTGGTGGGCGATGGTGAAAGTCGGTGGTGGTGGAAGGCATTGATAATGGTGGTGGTGGTGGAAGGCGGAAATGATTGTGGTGGAAGGTAATGATGATTTTTAGACTTGGAATATGAGGATGTTTTGGGAAGTCGATTTTTAAAAATAAATTACTTGGGAATGGAATTGTCATTCCATAGGTTTAGTTATGGAATGGATTTTCATTCCATGAATGAATTTTCATTCCAATGGAATGAACATTTCCACTTTAAGTTGCATACCAAACAAAAGAATGGTTAGAATGGATATTCTATTCCATTCCATTCTTGCACACCAAACGTAGCATTAGTTCCTAGTGGGCAATCCCTTGTCTCACGGTCCGTGGTTCTAGTGAAGGTAGGGACTCATGTGAATTGGCAATTTTTCATCTGGTTTTTCAACTGGACCATTCATTTCTCATTTTGTGCTTCTTGATTTCTAAACTATTGTAACGATACAAATGAAAAATAAGTTGCTAAAAGTTTCTCCATAAATGGTTGTCAATGCAGTTTTTTTTTTTTTTTTTTTTTTTTGGCATAAATTGTAATAATTTTAGTATTTTTTGGGTACATAAATATCCTCAGAAAATTTGGGTTCGACTGAATTTGTTATTTACCGAATTTAATGGAGGACTGAATAATGACCCAATCACCATTCAAAAAAAAAAAAAAAAAACAATGACTCAATCCATAATGTTGAGGGGTAATTTGGTCCACAAAATTATCTCAAAAAATCATTACACAGTATTAAGTTAAAATACCCCCCTCATTATGGTTGAGGAGGGTTTCTTGCTAAAAGTATTCTTGGAGTTTTTTTGGCAAGTGAGTAATAGTCGAGGGAGTTTTTTACAATTCGCCATATAATAAAAGTGTTTAAAATATTTTTAAAAATATTTTGCATAAAAAAATAAATAATAGTAAAATATATATATATATATATTAAGTACGGAATGACATAAAAGTTACACGACTTACAAATATTAATAAATGCTACTTTATCACGATATACAAATCTTAATGATCCAGTCATTGTAACTTGATCATTGAGAAGTTTTACTGGATGATTTCTGAATGGACCCGATAATTAATTGTTGTCATCTTAATTGTATATTGTGTATACTTAAAGTTTTAATCTGGCTAAATATAATACAATGGACCCGATATTGAATGGACCCAATCCTAATAAAAGATCTTTTCTTTTTCTATATTTTTTTAATTTTTTGAATAATTAATTAAACACTATATCTAAGAAAGAATATTAACAACAAACCACAATGTATGCAAAAAATGAACTTAAATTTCTTTCAAAACAACAAAGTTGATTCAAATGAAAAAGGGAACCATTGTTCAAAGTATATAATAAGTTTATTTTTTAAAATGAAATTGTGATCCCAAGTGTGCTGGAAGGACGAAATTTTTAATTTTGAATAATTTGAAAGGAATTGTCTTAGATTAAGAGAAATTAAAACTCTATTACAAACATCCTTGAAGAGTTTGTCTAGAATTGTCCCAACCAAGCTATCACAAACATCCTTAACCACTTACCAGTAAAGATAATTTGACGGGTTTGTCTTAGATTCAGAGAAATCAACCAAATCATAAGTCACTGAAACAATGTGTTAATTTACTTTGATTATTTGTAACATCAAACACAAAAGACGTCAACAAATAAAGTCATGTGCAACATAATGTCAACTGAATCCCACGTAGGTGACAAATGTAGATTAAAGTAAAAAGTAATGTCCATTGTTTAGACACTCATGTAAAAGAGTGACTTTGTTCATGTAAAGTCAAAATCAATGGTATCAATACATATATTAAACAATAAATTTAAAAATAAAAAAAAAAAAACCTAATGGTATACTATTTAATAGCCTTGGAACATTGGTGGAGGTGGGGAAGAGTACTGAAAGCCCATGTTTGGTGGGAGAATGAAGTCATCGTGCTTTGGCGGTGGTGAAGGTACAGCTTGAGTAGGAGGAGTTAATGATCGTGCGGGTGTTGGTGCTGGTGGAGGCGATTGAACCGTTGGTGCGACAGGAGATGGTTTTGGAGTTGAAACTAGCGTAGAAGGTGGTAGTGGTGGTGGTAGATGTGATTGAGCCGGTGGTGGGACAGGAGATGGCTTAGGAGGAGTTAATGATCGTGCGGGTGTTGGTGCTGGTGGAGGCGATTGAACCGTTGGTGCTACAGGAGATGGTTTTGGAGTTGAAATTGGTGTCGAAGTTGGAGATGGGACTGGAGATGGCTTAGTGGGTTTAGGAGGAGGTGAAATTGGTGTCAAAACTGAAGTTGGGGATGGAGATTGCTTAGTTGGTTTAGGTGGAGCAGAAGCTGGTGTTAAAACTGGAGCTGGGGTCGGAGATGGCTTAGAAGGTTTTTGCGGAGGAGAAACTGGTGTTTGAACTGGAGCTGGAACTGGAGATGGCTCAGGAGGTTTCTGAGGTGGAGAAATTGGTGTTTGAACCGGAGTTGGGACTGGAGATTGTTTTGGAGGATGTGAAACTGGTGTTTGAGTCGGAGCTAGGACTGGAGACGACTTAGGAGGTTTCTGCGGTGGAGAAATTGGTGTTCGAGTTGGAGACGGGACTGGAGATCTTTTAGGGGGAGTTGAAATTGGTGTGTGAGTCGGAGCTGATACTGGAGATGGCTTAGGAGGTTTTTGAGGTGGGAAACTTAGTTTTGGAGCTGGAGCCGGGACCGGAGATCGTTTAGGAGGAGTAGAAGCTGGTGTTAAAGTTGGAGTTGGGAATGGAGATGCCTTAGGAGGTTTCTGAGGTGATTGAATTGGTGTTCGTGCAGGAGCTGGGCCTGGAGATGCTTTGAGAGGTTTAGGTGGAGCAGAAACTGGTGTTTGAGTCGGAGACGGGCCTGGAGATGCTTTGCTAGGTTGAGGAGGAGATGAAACTGGTGTTTGAATCGGAGCTGGGCCTGGAGATGATTTGCCAGGTTTAGGAGGAGCCGAAACTTGTGTTTGAGTTGGAGCTGGACCTGGAGACGCTTTGCCAGGTTTAGGAGGAGCTGAAATTGGTGTTCGAGTCGGAGCTGGGCCAGGAGATGCTTTGTTAGGTTTAGGAGGACTCGAAACTGGTGTGTGACTTGGTGGATTAGAAGTGGGAGGAAGAGTATAAGTCTTTGATGGTGTTGGAGGAGGTGATATTTGGGATGAAGGGGTTAGTGGAGTTGTTGTTGGTGGCTTTGATGTGGGAGGTGAAGTGTAACTCCTTGATGGTGTCGGAGGAAGTGATGTTTGGGATGAAGGGGTTGGTGGAGTTGATGTTGGTGGCTTTGATATGGAAGGTGGGGTATAACCTGTTGATGGTGTTGGAGGAGGTGATGCTTGGGATGAAGGGGTTGGTGGAGTTGATGTTGGTGGCTTTGATGTGGGAGGTGGGGTATAACCCGTTGAAGGTGTTGGAGGAGGTGATGTTTGGGATGAAGGACTTAGCGGAGTTGAAGTTGGTGGCTTGGAAGTTGGAGGTGGAATATAAGTTGATACTTCTTTTGGTGGAGGTGATACTTTGGATGAAGGGCTTGATGGAGTTGAAGTGGAAGGCGGAGGAGTTGAGGCTTCGGATGAAGGAGTTGGTGGAGTTGATGATGGTGGCTTGGATGTGGGAGGTGGAGTATAACTCGTTGATGGTGTCGGAGCAGGTGATGTTTTGGATGTGGGAGTTGGTGGAGTGGATGTTGATGGTGTCGGAGGAGGTGTTGTTTCGGATGTAGGAGTCGGTGGAGTAGATGTTGATGGTGTCGGAGGAGGTGATGTTTTGGATGTGGGAGTTGGTGGAGTGGATGTTGATGGTGTCGGAGGAGGTGTTGTTTTGGATGTAGGGGTTGGTGGAGTGGATGTTGATGGTGTCGGAGGAGGTGTTGTTTCGGATGTATGAGTTGGTGGAATGGATGCTGATGGGGTCGGAGGAGGTGTTGTTTGGGATGTAGGGGTTGGTGGAGTTGATGTTGATGGTGTCAGAGGAGGTGTTGTTTTGGATGTAGGGGTTGGTGGAGTGGATGTTGATGGTGTAGGAGGAGGTGTTGTTTTGGATGTAGGGGTTGGTGGAGTGGATGTTGATGGTGTCGGAGGAGGTGTTTTTTCGGATGTAGGGGTTGGTGGAGTGGATGTTATTGGTGTCGGAGGAGGTGTTGTTTTGGATGTAGGGGTTGGTGGAGTGGATGTTGATTGTGTCGGAGGAGGTGTTGTTTTGGATGTAGGAGTTGGTGGAGTGGGTGTTGATGGTGTCGGAGGAGGTGTTGTTTTGGATGTAGGAGTTGGTGGAGTGGATTGAGATGTAGGAGTTGGTGGAATGGATATTGATGTTGATGGTGTCGGAGGAGGTGTTGTTTCGGATGTAGGATTTGGTGGAGTGAATGTTAATGGTGTTAATGGTGTTGGAGGAGGTGTTGTTTTAGATGGAGGAGTTGGTGGAGTGGATTTTGATGGTGTCGGAGGAGGTGATGCTTGGTATGAAGGGGTTGGCGGAGTTGATGTTGGTGGCTTTGATGTGGGAGGTGGATTATAACTCGTAGATGGTGTCGGAGGAGGTGATGCTTGGGGTGATGGGGTTGGTGGAGTTGAAGTATGTGTTGATGGGACGGAAGGTGTACCAACCGGTGATGGCGGTGACTGTTTAGTTGTTGGCGGCGGGGTGAATTCAGGACTTTCTGGTGTCGGTGATTGTGGTTTTGGTGCCGGTGGAGAAGGTGTTGAGGGGGTAGTAGGTGTTTGTGGTGCATCTGGAGTAGGACTGTTGGGCTGGTTTCCACAGATCAACTCACATTCATCAGTGTTAGTTGTAAACTTGTTGTGGTCAAAGAACACACCATCAAACTTCTTCTCAAAGAGTTTTCGGGGCAATTGCCCTCCAAACTCATTGTACCTCAAGTTAAGGTACTTGAGAGATTGCAACTCCAGAAGAACGTCAGGAAATGAACCAACAAAGCGGTTGTAGCTGATATCGAGTTTCTGCAACTCCTGAAACCCGGACAAGTTCTTGGGGAATTCTCCTTGAAACTGGTTGTTGTTAATCTTGAAACTTTTAATATCAGTCAAGAGCCCGAGAATATCAAAAAGATATCCTTGAATATAAGCATGGCTGATATCAACAGCAGAAACAACGGTCAAGGAGGAATCATCAACTGCCTTTGAGCAGACAACACCAGAGTAGGCACACACATTCTCACCAACCCAATTGCCAGTAACATTATGCGGGTCAGACACAAAACCTGATTTCCAATAATGAAGAGCAAGATAAGCATTCCTGAGCCTGATATTTGCAAATTTCATGCCACCAAGATCTTTGAGATAAACCTCATACACCTTGGGAAGACTTTCCTTAGCATCCTTCAGTTCGTTATGAGCCAAGGCAAACGATGAAAATGAAGAGAACAAAAGGGAGAGGAAAAGAAAGCTGCCGGAGATCTTCATCTTTTCGGTGGTCAGATATTCCAACCACCTTGGATAAGATCCAAGGCTGCTTCTGGTTTCTTGTATGGGAGTTATGGAGGTACTTATAGTGGTGGTAGAGAGAGGGAAGTTTTAGAGGATTCCATTTTTAGTTCCGGAATTCATGGAGCTTTAATATACAGCACAAAATGTGACGGTCATTATGATTTCACTCACGATTAATTTAGAGATCGCTACTTCAATTTCGATTAATTTGCCTGAATTAGAGTTTGGTCATAGTAACACTTGAGGAGGACCAAGTCTTCCTTCAACCAACTAGCTACATAAATTACCACCATTAGATCCATTACCTTTTAACACTGAGGACCAGTGATAAAAATAGGATGATCTTTGTATTGATAATAGGCTGTTTCTTTCTGTTATCTGTCCACACTCTTTCTAAGTGTAATTGATTTTATTAACCAAGGGAAGTAAAATTAAATAAAATAAAAAAGAAATAACTATTTCAATAGAAATATATGAGAACCTGTGTACATCTCTTTTACTACTTCGTGTATAACCTCACTTTTGGACGCAATAAACAATTAATAATTTATTGGACATTTAATATATTTTTAAATATTGTCATAATTTGGAGGAAGTATTTCTCTAAATTTAACAACCACATAATAAAAAGGATTCGGCAGAGTTTTATGCTTGAAAGTTAAGCCAGAATAATAAACTTATAGAACAGGCAAAATATTTTGAAGTTTGTCTGCAAATATAAATTGATTGATCCATCAAATCATCAATTATATTAGTGATTTATTATCAAGTTATCAACTGAAGCCAATCCTAGTTATAGGCGTGTTAGTGCGAAGTGATATATGTGAGTTTTTTATTACTATTATATTCAAAATATATATACATATATAACATTTATTTAGACAATAGTGGAATGCGCGCCTTAGTTACACTGTATAGATTGTTAATGTAATACATTATATCGTAAATTTGTTATATAAGCAATTCAAAATTACGGTATAAATAATGTGAAAATTTTGTATAAGTCGTTGCATGAACGATAAGCACGGAAGAGAATTTGGGTTCACAACTGATGCATTTTAGTTATTGAAGAACATAAAACATTATTGAAGATTGGTCATATTTATTAAGCACATAGAATATGGTTGTGGCTCTGATTGCTTAAGAACAAACTGTAGTCAAATCATAGAAAATAATCAATCTTTGACAACAGACTAAAAATAATTGATGAAAATTGTTTTCTGTATTTCAAAATTTGCTCACATCCTGTAACAAAGTCATATAACTTTAGGTGAATGCCCAATATGTCTTTTATTTATTTATTTTTTATTCATTTTATTATTATTGATTTCTTTAAATAGTATGCTTACTTCTTGTACTCTCATTTTATTTGCGATTACATAATAGTCTCTATCTTATTCATTATATTTTCCAACACAATGAATAACGGGATCATTATTTTACTTTTATGTTTTCTTTTTTCGTTAGTAAAAAAAACACTCATGTAACGACTTAAATCATACTAAACACAAGAAGAGAACTAAAGAACAAAAGAAGAATCAGAAAAAAGGGCATGAAAGGGAAAATCTTAAATCAAAAAACAAAACTTTGAAAATCGCATCTAAGAGCCTCATGAACTGCAAAATTGCCAGATCGGTATTCACTTGAGAGTTACTCAAATCTTTTATTTTTATTATTTTATATTGTAAAGGCATTTGTCACTTTATCTTTTGGACATAAACTTCTTACTCACCGTTCAGTAGGTAGGCAAGTATTAAAAAAGAAAAAAAGCAATATATGATGGTGCATCAGAGAAGAAAAAATATAAACAATTCATCATCATCACCATTCTTGCCTTTATCCCCGATGGGTCATTCATATGAATTTTTTTTTTTTTTTTTCATTCTTTTCTATTGTACACCATATCATTTTTTATTATTTTTTTTTAATCCAGGAGCTAACAGAAAATCGAAAAAGGCAAACAAAATGCCTAAGAAGATCACAACCATGGATGAGCCATGCATCAAAGGACAACAGACCTGTTCTAATCCAGGAAAAGAAGCCAGAACAAGCTGGAACAAAAATGGTGTCAATGACTTTGCAAGGAGATAAGAGTTCAATGAAGATGCCCATGTGAGGAAAGGTTAATATGGAAGCCAAATTTGAATTGAAAAAACTCCCATTTAATTGAATAATAGCTGCATTGGAAGAACACTGAGTAAGACACCTGACAGTGCATTGGTGATTTGTGTGCATTATGGACTTGCAGTGACAGTGTGGTGCATAAATTTTACTTGTGCATCTTATCATGACATTGGACTTTACTTTTGCATCTTATCAGGTACTAATTAAATGTATATTTAATGGTTTTCACAATATAAACATCTTATCTATCACAGGCTTTACTGGGTGAATTCTGACTTGGCTCGATTAGTGTTTGCTTGTGTTCTTAATTTTATATTAATTTTGTGAATGCCATTCACAATCATTAGAAATATAAATTTAATTACCACTTAACCATATAGAGAGAGAGGAAAAAAAAAAAAAAAAAAACAACAACAATTGCTTTCCAATCGACGAAAACAAAAAAATTCCTAGTAATTAATCATATAGCAAGACAAGAAGAAATTAGCCAAATTTTGAATCCAGAAGAGAACTGTTTATAATATTTCAAAAATTAAACACTCATAAGAGAGCTGTTTTCTTTTTCTTTTTTTTTATTTCCATTTCTGTAATTGAGTCACCATTATACCTGAAGAGAAACAGCAATTTAATATCTTCTTGTCTTACAATAATAGACATTAAATTTCTTAGTAATAACAATGTAGAGGCAAACAACAAACAATGTCCACCTCTTGGAAGCTCAGGTTACAGAGTGAGTCTATGTATATATTAATATACAGTATGATATGCTAGTGATGTACTAGTTAGTAGCCTAGGAACATAGGTGGTTGTGGCAGCAAGTACTAGGAGCACAAGGTTGTTGAATGGATGAAGATGTCCCGTGTCGTTGTTGCTTGGTGGTTTGGTGGTGGTGAAGAAACACGAGAGAGAGAGAGAGAGAGAGAGAGAGAGATTGTAATGGTGTGGGGGTGATTGGATGGGTGGTGGCGGTTGGGAATAATCAAGGAAATGGAAGTGGTGGTGAGTAAACTGATCAGGTGTAAATATCAATTTGCAAATCTCCTTCTGGTGGTGCTCGGTGAGATTTGGAGGAGGGTGGTGATGGATGAGGTTTGGAAGAAGGTGGTAGTGGATGATATTTGGAGGAGGGTAGTGGGGGTGGATGATATTTGGAGGGGGGTGGTGGTGGATGTATCTGCAAATCAACAAAAGGTGGTGAAGGTGGTGGGGGTGGTGAAGGACGTGGGGGTGGGGGTGATTTCGGTTTGGACGAGGGTATTGGCAGAATATCTTCTGGGGACGATGGCAACACATAAACAGGTTCATGGGGTGGTGCGAGCGATTTCACTGTGGAGGAAGGTGGTGGTGCAAAAGGGCCATTTAAAGCTTGTGGCAGAATAGAACGTGCGATTGATTTTGCGAAGTTAGGAGATGGTGTAGGAGGAGATGAAAGTGGGGGTGTTGGAGGTGGAGGAGTTGGGCTTCGCGCCGGAGGTTGCTCAATTTGTTTGGGAGGAGGAGCAGAAACTGGTGTGGCAGCAGGAGCGGAGATTGGAATTGGCCCAGAAGGTTTTAGAGGATCCACAGCTGGAGACGGGACTGGAGATTGGGGAGGAGTCAAAACTGGTGGTGAAGCTGGGATAGGAGGAGGTGGCTGAGAAGGTTTTGGAGGAGCTGAAACGGGCGTCAAAGGTGGAGGCGAAAGAGGAGATGGCTCAGAAGGTTTTGGAGGAGCTGAAACGGGCATCAAAGGCGGAGGAGAAAAAGGAGATGGCTCAGAAGGTTTTGGAGGAGCTGAAACGGGTGTCAAAGGTGAATCTGGAATAGAAGAAGGTTTTGGAGGAGCTGGAACAGGTGTCAAAGGTGAAGCTGGATCTTGAGATGGCTTTGGTGGCACACTTGGTAGGTCAGAAGTGGGAGGAGGTGGAGTAAAAGTCTTTTCTGGTTGTGAAGAAGGTGATGGGTTGGGCAAAGAGCTTGGCGGAAGTGAAGTCTTTCCCGGTTGCGAAGGATCAAGCGGCGGATTGGACAAAGAGCTTGGAGGTAGTGAAGTCTTTCCCGGTTGCAAAGGATCAAGTGGCGGAGGAGGTGAGGTAATAGTCTTTTCTGGTTGTGGAGGCAGCGAGGGGATGGGTAAAGAGCTTGGAGGAGGTGAAGTAATAGTCTTTTCTGGTTGTGGAGGAAGCGATGGGATGGGCAAAGAGCTTGGAGGAGATGAGGTAATAGTCTTTTCCGGTTGCGGAGGAGGTGATGGGTTGGGCAAAGAGCTTGGAGGAGGTGAAGTAGAAGTCTTTTCCGGTTGTGAAGGAGGTGATGGGCCGGGCAAAGAGCTTGGAGGAGGGGACATTGGTGGTTTGGAAGTAGGGGTTGGAATAGGATTGGGTTCTACTTTTGGGGTGGAGGGGCTCGAGGGAGGAACATTTCCCTCCACCACTACGCCCGGCCTTGAAGGTTGTTGGCATGCTTGACCATCTCCGTGTAAGTTGGTACCAGTGAATCTTAAGTGCGACAAATGTGGCAAGCTGCAAATGCTATCCGGGACAGTTCCTGTCAATAAAGTATTTCCGATGTCCAGTTGCTGAACATTCTTGAGATTAGAGAAACTGGCTGGCAACGGACCACTCAACTGGTTAGAACCCACGCCAAGAACGCTCATGTTAGTCAGCGACCCCATTTCATCAGGTAGCTTACCGCTGAGATCATTGTTTGTGAAAAGTATCTCATTCAATGTGTTCTTCATCTTGCCAATGCTACTCGGAATGCTACCACTAAATTTGTTATTAGCAAACACAATAACTGAAGCTGTGGAGTTTCCTAGAGTTTCAGGAATGGAGGATGAGAACCTGTTGTTATTCAGGAACAAAGCGTCGAGCTTCATATCGAAGAGCTTTGGGGGCAATGCACCTTCAAACTCATTAAATCTAACATCAAGGTACTTGAGGGATGGCATATTTAGAAGAGCATCCGGAAATAAACCACAAAAGCGGTTGTTACTAACATCAAGCTCGAACAAAAGCGTAAGCCTACAGAAGCTATCAGGAATTTTTCCAAAAAATCGGTTTGAGCTAATATGGAAAAGAGCAATATCCGTTAGGAGCCCAAGCTCAGGAGGAAGGGAACCGGCAATTTCACCACGGTTAAGATCAACACCAGAAACAACCTTCAACTTGGGGTCATCAAGTGCTGGTGAGCAGATTACGCCATTGTAGGCGCACACATTGGAACCAACCCAATTGGTGGTCATGTTTTTCGGGTCCGAATATATACATTTTTTCCATGCCTGGAGAGCAACATAAGCTCTTGCTATCCTTGAATTTTCAAAAGTGGCAGGAACAGCATCGAATGTCAGAAGCTGGCGATGCGGAGCATAGGATGCCTCAACATCTGCTAAAGCCAAAGAGAAGGAAGAAAATGAAGAGAATAATAGGAAGGAGAGGAAAAGAAAGTTTCCCAAGCTCTTCATCTTCGGTTGATATAACAATGCCAGAGACCACCTTGGATAGGTCCAAGGCTGCCTATAGCTTTTCATTCATGGGAAGAAAAGGAGGGTGTTATATGGAGGTATAGAGGGAGGGAGTGAGAGTCCGTTGACAGAGGCCTCCGTTTTAGCAGCGGAATTCTAGGATACACCACCAATTTGGAGGTTTGCCAAGAATTTCACAAACAAATCTAGGGATGGTTGTCGGGATTTTGGTTGTTAGCCTCAATAGCACAGCACAGGTTTAGCAATGCTAACAAATATTCACGTTGACCTAGTCTTTCTCCATAAATTAACCACATTACACACATTATAATAGCTGGTACGAGAAAATTTTGGAAGTAATCTTTGTACATTGGGCATTATGACTTTTTTCGTGTTATGGTAAAAGTTACCACCACCTGTAAATTACATGTGAGCAATTTTGATTAAGATTTTGATGATTTCCTAACTTAGCAAAAAATTATTTTAACTATATTTTGTTTGTCGCAGGTATAAATCAGAATGCATGCAATAATATTTCATGTATCAAATGGCTTAAAATCCTAATTTTGGGGACATAAATGAACAACACATGTTTTGCAGTGATATATAAGCCACATCATACATCTCTTTATGTAAAGAGATATGCTATTCAGGATAAAATTATTTTCCAACTACATGTCAAAATGAAATGGTATGCTCTAAACATGTGATTATTTTGTGCATCTTACTCCTCCAATATTTGGATCAATAAGTTAGGAAGTACTTCAGATTTTTTTTTTATTTTTTTAGATTAAAGACTTAGAATTAGGAAATAAATATATACTGAAGACAAAACCACCAAGACCTTTGGTCTAATGGGATCTTGTCTCTTTTGGAAGAGAAAAGTGGAGAGTTATTTGTCCGGACAAATAATAATAATAAAACTTTTGTGCATCTTACTCCTACAATATTTGGATCAATAAGTTAGGAAGTACTTATGATTTTTTTTTTTTTTTTTAGATTAAAGACTTAGAATTAATAAATATTGGTTCATGTCACCAAGTTTAGCCTCGATATAATTTTTTTTTCTTTTTTCCCTAAGTTATGCAAGGTCTGCCTATGTTTTTGGTGTAGAATTTGACAGCTAACCCAACAGATTTTAAGTACCAACATCATTTTGCTTTTGAAAGTGACTATATACTGTTATACCAACCCATATATTAATCTCATGTTTCAATTTTCTTTTCCTTCTTTCTTTTTTCATGTTAAAGAATATAGAGTTTGAAGACAGTTACAACTACATGTAGAAGCACAATTTTCACCTCAATAGGTTGCACTTGCACCAATCCTATAGCACCAAGAAGTCTAGAACCCAAAGTAGCCAATAGTAGATCTTCTCTAAGTTGACCTGATAAGTTTATATATATATATATATTAACGATTTCAATTGAAGTTTAAACTATATCATCACATTATTAAAACTTGGCAGAAATTTTACAGAGTTTAAATATGATTAACCTAGTATTACACATAAGAGCTTACTTGACCACAACTAGTATCACATAATTCAAAAACAAAAATATAATCCCGCAGCTTAAAATCCATAAACAAAATATAAAACAATTTACAACGAACACAAAACTCATTGCATATACTGTACTACCAACTAGTTCATGCATATATCAATCGGTTTCGTGGTCAGGTGCAGGGGAGTACCAAGCAGGGAACCTCCCTTTATTTCTGAGCATTCTGGTGAATGGTGAATCTGGCATTCTGCCTTTCTCTTCCTCATCCATCTCTTCCTGCGATTTTGGCAACCCATCTGGCACCGGAAAAGGTCTCTCCTCTTTCTTCTCGGCGTTCAATGTCTTTGGAGATCCGTTGGATTCTTTTTTCCGTTTACTGATTGCCGAAATTCCGTGTAAGCATCCAATTAGAGATTTGATCCCACCTGCTTGCAGGATTAACCTTTCCACATCTTCCTTTGGAGTCTCACTCTGAAATCAAAAATTCATAATTAAGTTTCTAGCAGAGATTTTTTTTTTTTTTTTTAAATCGTTTGGCTTTTGAGAAAATGAGCCACAATTACATCCCCATTTCCACTACTTGTGTTTAATTTTTTAACATCTTCTCTTAACAAAGTCTTTTCCCTGTTATTACAAAAGACTACACTAATCATATTTTTTTGTTCTACTTTATCAACAGACTCTTTTCCTTTTTCTTTTCTTTTTTTAAAAAGAAAGAATCGTTCGAATTGCGCGACTACAACATAAATTCTAGATTTTCTCAATCACCACTAAACCACAGATCCCGCAATCACCCACAAATCACCATGAATTTTACTTAAACCAATAGTGGGAGTTGAAGCAATCGTGATCGGTAAGGCTTTTGAAAGTACTTTTCCGGATCAAGACTCACCAAAAGTGAATCCTGAACTCAAATGAGGCAAGTGGTTTGTGGGTGCATCCGGAGTTTCCAAACCATCATAGAGTCAAGTGGCTAAAAGGTGACTTGATTTTTCGTTAATAAAAAAACCAAAAAATATATATATAAAGAATAATGATTTAAAGGAAAGAGGCCGATTCAGCCTCTAAATCAGTACTCAAAAATAAAATATCCTTTTTCTTTTTTTCTTTTTTATGTGGACCAATTTGATGAGACTATAAAGATGAGAAGACACTAGACGACCCAACACATTCCGAGTTTTATGACACGGACTCTTGAAGTTGAAGACTCAAAGTCCTCCATTTTCTCAGCAACCAAACAGAATAAATAACTTGTTCAATATTTCAAAAACACATATGAATAAACTTACTTCAAGTTCTTTCAGTTCGAAATAGGCTCTCCAACAGCTATAAGAAGGGTCCCCTTCGAGCGTTGAACAGTAATCTGAACATTGATAGAACAGAACACACGGATATCAAAAATAATCCATTTTATATTCAGAAATTCGCCAAAACTAATCACCTATACCCAACAACAACAACAATCAACAAAAATAAAATTAAATAAATTTTAATCTAGTCATCTTATACTGAATCTGAAACTTGCCTGCAAGTTCGTTTTCGGATTTTTGAATCAAAGGAGGGTCTTTAACGACTCTGTCGAACTTGGTTCTGCTAAAAGGTTCGAGTTTGGGTATATAAGCGTTGTTTCTGGAAGAATAACATATGGTTGATGGTGATCTTGAAGACTGAAGATCGTTGTGTTCAAGAAGGAAAGGAGATGAAGATTGAGGAAGGGGTAGTGATCTTATCATCATTCTATCCAAACAAGACTTTGAAGGCACAATGGTGTATTGGGGTCTGTGTGTGCATTTATATATATATATATATATACACACACAAATATATATACACATATATAGGCACAATAATGAATGACGGAAGGAGACAATGAAAGTAGATAAGGATGAGATATTTTAATTGTGGGGATTAGATCTTTATCTTATGAAGGGTACTTTTTTATGATTAAACGATCGGTTGGTGGGACCATAGAAACGTTGTTTTGAATTGTCTGTGGGCACTTCCGCGGAACATAAAGTTGAAATTTTTAAGGTAATCTTTATTTGGACCCCTCGGGTATGTCTATACGTCAACCAGACCCCTCAAGTTTGTATAACTTTAATAAGACCCCTTGTTTTGGTTGACCAAGTCAATTGAAGGAACAAAATGACCAATCTACCCTCATTATTATTTACTCAATAACAAACACTCTAGCATCTCACATTTTTTTTTTTTTTTTTTTTTTTTTTGGGTAATCGTGAGTGTTCAAGCTAGCTTGCGCGTACCTCGACTAATTCCACAAGGCCCTAAAGTTAACAACCAGGTAAGCCTCCAGTAACCCTACGGAGACTCAAATCGGTGACTATTGGAAAGCAAACCCAAGGCCTGACTAGAGAAAGTTTTGGAAATTAAATTAGTCACTAATTTTTAATTTTTGAAAATTAAATTTTAGATTAGAAATTGAAAAGATTTAAATTTTTAATTTTATCAAATTAGGATTCACTAGGGAAAGTTTTATATTAGTCACTAATTTTTTATTTTTGGAAATTAAATTTATTTTGGGAATTAAAGTTTACAAAGGTTAGGAATTGAAAGGATTTAAATTTCTAATTTTATCAAATTAGGATTGACTGAAGAAAGGTTTAAATTAGTCACCAATATTTTATTTTGGAAATTAAATTTTACAAAGGTTAGGAATTGAAATGATTTAAATTTAGGATTTTATCAAATTAGGATCCACCGGGGAAAGGTTAAAATTAGTCATTAAATTTTTATTATTTTTTAAATTAAATTTATTGTGGGAATTAAAGTTTAGAATTGAAAGGATTTAAATTTATGATTTTATCACATTAGGATCGACTAAGGACAGGTTTAAATTAGTCACTAATTTGTTATTTTAATTAAATTTATTTTGAAAATTGAATTTTACAACGGTTTGAAATTGAAAGGTTTTAAATTTATTTTATGAAATTGGGATCGACTAAGATGTAATATTTCTGTTTTTCATCATTTTCCATTTTCTGGAATTTTTCGATTTTCTGAGGGTATTTTTGTCTTTTCTCGTTTTGTGTGCCGGATACTGTAGGGTGTGCCGGGTGTGTCCGAGAGTTGGTTCAGACATTTCTCCGAGTTTAGAACTCTTGAAAATGTATCGGTTGCCATTTCAGCATTTTTTCGTTTTTCGTGCCGAACAGTCTCGAGTGGGACTCACTTCCGAAATTATCGCGTACGGGGGTTTTGGCTGGATCCACTTGCATACCATTCATTTTATTTAATGTGTTTTATAAGGCTACAATGTAGATTGTATGTGTGTGTGTGTGTGTTTTGTGGTAAATTAAAAGATAAAAAGATTTTTTTTTTTAAAGTGAGTGGGACCCACTTTTATTTCATTTTAATGGCCTAAAGGCCATACCCACCATCAGATTTTTTTACTCTCTCTCCTGTAGGCTCTATTTCTCTCTTTCCCTTCTATTTTTTTTTTTCTTTTATGCAAAATTTCAATCTTTGATTTCCTTTTCATCCTTTAGAATTTTTGAGTGCCATTTGCGGCAAATCGGAGAGCACGACGAGATCTACATGTGGGTGTAAATAATTCATCATTTGGTGCACTCTAAGGATTTCGAATTTTTGGACCTATTTTGAGAGTTTTCATCCTTCTTGAGGTAAGGGTGTTTAATTCACAATTTCTTGGATTGTTGTGAGTTATTTTTTTATAATTGCTGCCTAGCATGTTTTATTTGTGTTGATTTCCTTAAAGTAACTAAATTGTTGTATGTGAAGTAAAGGTGATTATATGTATTAGTTATATTGTGTGAGAAAGCATTCTAAAATGTTTATATTTCATGCCAATTGTGTTATATTAGTTGAAAATTGTGACTTAGAAGCATGATGTGGAACTTGAAATATTTCCTATAAAGTGTGCATATTGTGAATGTTTGAATTTGCAATAATGAAACTCTATATTGGCATGACATTGTAAAATATGAAGCATTTATGCACTTCATTAGGAAAGAAATGGGGATTATGGTTTGAAAGAAATAGGAAATTGGTTTTGAAAAAAAAAAAAAAAAGGAAATTGGCTTTCGAAAGAAGAAAATTAAATAAATAAATAAATTTGGGAAATGGTTGTGGAAATTGGGAGTGACATTGCATGACATTGCATCCTATTTTACAATATGTTCATTCTTGACTTGGGTTGTTGATATTGATATTGTGGTTATTTTCTCTTCAGCATGGTATGATCCAAATTCTTGTATTTTAGGTTTGGAAAAAGAAGGGGCGGGCGACAACCCATCGCAAATTAAGACTGGACTAGAACTCTTATTTTGTTGCCTTTTTGTATAGAAACATGATTATGTACCTTTTAAAAATAATAATAATAATAATTAGGTTTAACTTGTATAGTGTTGTAATGGTAGAATTTGTGTAAATAAATATATTTCATGAACTGTAACTTAATGTAATTAAAGTAATTCCTTGTTTGGAGGAGAAGGAGGAACAGGACATTTTGTATGTATGTGTTGATTTTGAGAATGTTGTATATTATTGCATTGTGCGTTGAGACATGATAGATTAGTTTTGAGGCCAAATGAGGCCATTTCATTTTATCTGTATTTCAGCAGGTCGTAGTAGGACATTTTTCTGTAAAGGTCATGCCGATTTTTTTTATATTTTTTTATTATTATTATTTATTTTGGGTCGTTACAAATTTAGTATCAGAGCTTTAGGTTCGAAAACCTAAGGACAATGGGTAGGTTTGACTTAGAGAAGTTAGAATTGAATTTGACGATGTCGCATGCTTATGTGGTTATTACTTTTTTAAATTGAAAGAATGATTTATCATTATGTGTTTACATGCATGCTAAATGATAACGTGATTATTATTATTAAGTTTATTATTTAGTAAATGTGAAAGCATGCCTATTTCCTAAATGTTTATGTGTAACTGATTATATGATTAAGTTGTCAAATACATGCTTAATTGTTAACTGTTTGTTGTTGATGAAAGCATGCTTAGTTGACTACGTGTTTAATTGTTAAGTGTTTATTATTATTAAGAGCATATTATACAAGTTTTATTGCAAGTAATTGAGCATGATAGTTATGATCTGTTTTGGAATGTAGTTGCATGTTAGGATTTACATTGTGGTCGTTTATCCACTAGGGAGTGGATGTAGGCATAGCTTGTTGGTTTCGTTATTGACGGATTTAAGTGTTCGTGACAGTGTTATGTGTTGAGTTGCGGAAGGTTTTAACCCGCGTATGTGGGGAGCTTAATCATTCCTATGTTTCTGAACGTTTTAGTTCTTATCGAACAGATAATGTGAGCACTGTAGCTCATGGATTGAGCTACTTCATGAATCCTTGTTTTGATCGTTTGGTTGTTTTTGTAGAACCGCGTTTAAAGACTACGTGAAGTGATGGATCCGGATGAAGTTGGGGAGTGAGCAGGTGAAGGGCCATCCCAACCAGATAAGTTTTTAATGGGACAGGGCCGAGATAGAGAGGTGGTACTGTAACACCCCCACATTTTTCACGCATAAGTTGATCAGGCTTATACACGAAAAACGAGGGATATCAAAAACAATTGGCAATATACAAGTATGGAATACAAAATGATGATAATAAAAGAATTTAGACAGGAAAGGAACACTAAATAATACAACATCCATCCATCCTTTATTTAAATACAGTACTCCATTACAACTTGGAAATCCTATGTCAAGGATCCCTAAATATAAACCTGAGAGTTCAACGTCAAAAATAAAAAACTGAAGCTGAAGTAATACGTAAAACTTCTACCCTGAACTGGATCGTAAGAGTAGATGAGTTCGGATGGTGGTCCCACACTGCTAACCTCAACCTTGGAACGGGTACTGACCGTATCCTGAAATAACAACAATGGTGGGTCAACCCCACGAGCAAGTCCTCTCTACTATGACCCAAATCAGAGAATCAAATAAATTAATCATTATGAATCGGATGAGTACTATATCTGTATACATCCTACGGGAACTATCCGATGTATAACATGACCTCAACCAGAATAGACGGTGATCACTTAGACTCACACTAGGTGGTCAAGTGTCGCCTTTCCCTACCCAGGAAATCAGCTATTATACATGGTGCACGGTACTGACAACACAGACTATAACGAACTACACAGTGATAACACCTCTCAAAATACTGATGAATATACTGAGCATATCAATTAGGCAACACATGCCAACAATATTAATAAATATACCGAGTATGTCAATTAGGCAACACATGCCAATAATATTAAACCACATACCCCGACAGCCACACATCTGTCTATCGCAACGAATGCATAAGGTATAAATGAGTCTAAACTTATTAGCCAGCTCACATGGTTCTATATGGCAACTCATCCATATAATATAAATGTGACATAATTAAACAGTCCATTTATTTCCTGAAATGCACACAGCATAATAATCATGGTTTATATACGATTAACAGTATAAATATTCCATAATATATAATGGGTTATTTATATGAATAAAACCAAGCACTAATTAATTTAACATTAATGGTTATTACAGTTTAATAAAATAATACTATTAATAGTCGTTAAATTAATTACATATGTTTACTAGCGATTTGCACTTTAACTGATACAATTAATATTTAGAAATATTAATCGGATAATTATAATAGTTGACGAGAAATAAAATAATAATATAATGTCCCGTTAATTCTAAAAATGCCAACCCGAGGCCCCAAAATGTATAGTGAAGGTCCTGGTAATGACAAAACAGTCCCTAGGGGTATTCTGGACTTTTCCAGCAGCTGCAGAGGCCTTTCACGCGC